ATGGTGTACATATCTCAATATTCAAAATTATGCATAGTGAAACACATCCATATTCCAGATTTCCTTCCTCTGAGTACCCTTTGTGTTACATTCTGCTGGTAGCCAAGTCTGACTGTAAAAAGAACAAGTAGTAAATTTCCTTACAATTTCCTTGACTTGTTGACAGGTTCAAGAGCTATTTGTAATCTCCAACAAGGCAATATTTTCTTTACTTCTTCCAAAATTCTTTCTATCTGCATTTGAATCAGCTAGTGAAATATCATCCATATAATGATATATTATAGATTTAGGAAATTGTTCCTAAATCCACTTTCCAAACTTCCAATAGCTCTCATACAAAATATTGGCACAGGGTTGGGCTATTTAACATTCCTTGTGGGAGAACCCTCCATTGATCTCTCTCTCTCTCTCTCTCTCTCTCTCTCTCTCTCTCTCTCTCTCTCTCTCTCTCTCATGATAATTTAATGTTTTTAATTTTATAATTTAATTTAATTTCACATATTAGCCACGGATTCCCCTTATTCTCCCTCCTACTGCCCCCTGGTCTCCCTCCAGCCCACCCCCCATTCCCATCTCCTCCCATGCAATGACTCTCCTGGGGATTCAGCTCAGCCTGGTAGATTCAGTCAAGACAGTTCCACTTCCCTCCTTCCTTCACCCAGGCTGAGTAAAGTGTCCCTACATAGGTCCCAGGTTGCAAACAGCTAGCTCATGCACTAAGGACAGGTCCAGGTCCCACTGCCTGGGGGCCTCCCAAACAGTTCAAGCGAATCAAATGTCTCACTTATCCTGAGGGGCTGATCCATAGGGGGCTCCTCAGCTATTGGTTCATAGTTCATGTATTTCCACTAGTTTGGCTATTTGTCCCTGTGCTTTTTCCAATCATGGTCTCAACAATTCTCACTCATACAATCCCTCTTCTTTCTCACCTATTGGAATCCTGGAGCTCCATCTGGGTCTTGGCCATGGATCTCTGCATCCAGTTCCCTCAGTCTTTGGATGAGAGTTCTACCATGACAGTTAGAATGTTTGGACATCTGATCACCCGAGTAGGTCAGTTCGGGCTTTTCTCGACAATTGCCAGTAATCTATTGTAGAGGTATCTTTGTGTATTTCTGGGGACATCTCTAGCACTTTGTTTCTTCCTATTCCCATGGGGTCTTCCTTTATAATGGTCTCTTTTTCCTTGTTCTCCCTCACTGTTCTTGATTTAGCTGGGATCTCATGCTCCCCTAATCTGTGTTTCCCTCGACCCTTGCCATTCATTACCTCTACTCATGTCAAGTTTGCTCATGTAGATCTCATCCATTTCTCTGTCATTGGGCCATCCCCATGTCTTTCTTAGTGTCCTCTTTTCTAGGTAGCCTCCCTGGAGTTGTGAGTAGCAGTCTAGTCATCTTTTGTTTTATATCTAGTATCCACCTATGAGTGAGTACATACCATGTTTGTCTTTCTGAGTCTGGGTTATCTCACTCAGGATGATTTTTTCTAGATCTATCCATTTGCCTGCCAACCTCATGATGTCATTGTTTTTCTCTTCTTAGTAGTACTCCGTTGAGTCTATGTACCACATTTTATTTATCCATTCTTCAGTTGAAGGGCATCTAGGTTGTTTGCAGGTTCTGGCTTTACAAATAATGCTGCTATGAACATAGCTGAGCATATGCCGTTGGGGTATGATTGAGCATTTTTTGGGAATATGCCCAAGAGTGGTATAGCTGGGTCTTGGGAGAGATTGATTCCCAATTTTCTAAGAAATTGCCGTATTGATTTCCAAAGTGACTGTACAAGATTGCATTCCCACCAACAATAGAGGAGAGTTCCCCTTGTTCCACATCCTCTCCAGCATAAGCTGTCTTCAGTGTTTTTGTTCTTAGGCATTCTGACAGATGTTAGGTGGTATCTCATAGTCATTTTCATTTGCATTTCCCTGATGATTAGGGATTTTGAGAAATTCCTTAAATGTCTTTCAGCCATTTAATTTTCCTCTGTTGAGAATTCTCTGTGTAGCTCTACACCCCATTTCTTAATTGGACTGTTGGACATTTTGATGTCTAATTTCTTGAGTTCTTTATATTTTCTGAATATCAGCCAACTGTCAGATGTTGAGTTTGTGAACATCTTTTCCCATTCTGTAGGCTGTCACTTTGTCTTGTTGACTATGTTTTTTGCTCTACAAAAGCTTCTCAGTTTCAAGAGGTCCCATTGATTAATTGTTGCTCTCAGTGTCTGTGCTACTGGTGTCATATTTAGGAAGTGATCTCCTCTGCCAATGCGTTCAAGATTACTTCCTACTTTCTCTTCTAGCAGGTTCAGAGTAACTGGATTTATGTTTAGGTCTTTAATCTACTTGAACTTAAGTTTTGTTCACGGTGATAGATATGGATCTACTTGCAGCCTTCTACATGTTGACATCCAGTTATGCCAGCACCATTTGCTGAAGATGCTTTCTTTTTTTTCCACTGTACGGTTTTGGCTTCTTTGTCAAAAATTATGTCTTCATAGGTGTGCAGATTAATGTCAGGGTCTTCATATGGATTCCATTCATTCACATGTCTGTTTTTATGCCAGTACCAAGCTGTTTTTCCTATTGTAGCTCTATAGTAGAGCTTGAGGTCTGGGATCATAATGCCTCCAGAGGTTGTTTTATTGTACAGGATTCTTTTGGCTATCCTGGGTTTTTTGTTTTTCCATATGAAGATGAGTATTGTTCTTTGATGGGGATTGCATTGAATCTGTAGATTGCTTTTGGTAAGACTGCCATTTTTACTAGTTAATCCTGACTATCCATGAGCATGGAGATCTTTCCATTTTCTGACATCTTCTTCAATTTCTTTTTTCAGAGAATTGAAGTTCTTGTCATATAGGTCTTTCAGTTGTTTAGTTAGAGTTACCCCAAGGTATTTTATATTATTTGTGGCTATTGTAAAGGGTGATGTATCTCTGATTTCTGGTTGTCAATTTTATATCTGTGGGCTACTGGTGTTTTTGAGTTAAACATTTTTTATTTTATTTTTTTATTTATTTATTTTTTTTTTTTTTTGGTTTTTCAAGACAGGGTTTCTCTGTGTAGCTTTGCGCCTTTCCTGGAACTCACTTGGTAGTCCAGGCTGGCCTCGAACTCACAGAGATCCGCCTGGCTCTGCCTCCTGAGTGCTGGGATTAAAGGCTTGAGCCACCACCGCCCTGCTTGAGTTAATCTTTTATCCTGCTAGGTTGCTGAAGGTGTTTATAACTGTGAGTTCCCTGGTTAAATTTTTGGGGTCACTCATGTATACTATCATGTCATCTGCAAATAGCGAAAGCTTGACTTCTTCCTTTCCAAGTTGTATCCCCTTGATGTCCTTATATTGTCTTATTGCTCTGGCTAGAAGTTCAAGTACTACATTGTATAAGTATGGGGAGAGTTGACAGCCTTGTCTTATTCCTGACTTTAGTGGAATCACTTTGAGTTTCTTTCAATTTAATTTGATGTTGGCTGCTGGCTTGCTGTAAATTGCCTTTATTATGTTTAGGTATGTTCCCTGTATTCTTGTTCTCTCCAAGACCTTTATCATGAAGGGGTGTTGGATTTTGGCAAATGCCTTTCCAGCATATAGTGAGATGATCATGTGGTTTTTTTCTTTCAGTTTGTTTTTATGGTGTGTTACATTGATGGAGTGTCATATGTTGAACCACCCTTGCATCCCTGGGATGAAGCCTACTTGATCATGGTGGATAATTGTTTTGATGTGTTCTTGGAGTCTGTTTGCCTGTATTTTATTGAATATTTTTGCATCAATGTTCATGAGGCAGATTGGTCTATAATTCTCTTTCTTTGTTGCATCTTTGTTTGGCTTAGGAATCAGGGTAATTGTAGCCTCATAGAAGGAGTTTTGTAATGTTCCTTTTGTTTCTGTTGTGTGGAACAATTTAAAGAGTATTGGTATTAAGTTGGGAAAGTTTTCTTCTATGATCTTGTTGAATATATTTTCTGTGCCCTCGGACTTGGTATTCTTCTCCTTCTTCTACCCCTCTTATTCTTAGGTTTGTTCTTTTCATGGTGTCCCAAATTTCTCGGACATTTTGGTTCATGACTTTGTTGGCTTTAGTGTTTTCTTTGAAGACATTCCTCTCTTCCTTGAGGTTCACTGAGTTCCACTTAATGTTTGGCTGTGGATGCCAGTATCAGCTCCCAACATATGTTGGAGAAATCCCACCTGATGTCCATTGGACTACGTGCCAATCTCTGAGTGTAACAGAATTCATTAGGTATTGTCTCATTGATTGTGTGTGTGTGTGTGTGTGTGTGTGTGTGTGTGTGTGTGTGTGTGTGTCAGTGAAGACACTGCACCAATTTCTACAGCTGAGCACAGCTGGATGGACTAAAATGGCCATTTTCAACAGAAACATCACTGGAATCCATAAGCTGATTTTACAATTTTTATTCATTTGATATTTTATTTGGGTATTTTATTTATTTGAGATGGATGTGCCCATGGAGAAAAGAGGAGGGCTGAAGAAAAGGTCCTCTGCAAGAGCAGCAATTGCTTTTGGCAACTGAGTCATCTCCCCTGACCCAATCATTGAGTTTGGAGAAAAACTTTCTTCATTATCTTTGCTTTACTTTTAATCAGACATTCATGTTTGTTTTCTCCTTTATGAGTCCTTGACCATATCTTCTGCTCAGTTCAATCCAGGTAGGTTTTTCCAAAGAAACCCTGTTGTAATGTTCTTGGTGCCAGCAGTTAAAATGAATTTCAGATTCTAACTCCTTAGACAAAAATCAAACCAGTATAACAACAGGGTAGAGGATGTGTAGATTGTACCAGAGTCCAAGACTCCACCTCCCTCAACCTGACATTGACTACTTTACAACTGTATAAAGCCTCAGCCACCATGCTGTTATTCCCTAGTTGCATTCGAAATTTTCCACACATCCCATAGTCTACCTAGGTATCATTGGTAACACCATGTCTGCTGCTTCTGGGAGACAAGTGTGGGAAAAGGTTTGCCAGGTCCTAGGATGGCTTCAAGCATTTAATAGGGTGATCCAAGACAGGGCAGTGAGCAGGCATGGAACCATAAACTTCAACCACTAAGTGGGGATATAAGCCCACCATTGTCTTCCAGTCTGAGGTCTCAGAGACCTCAGTAGTATGAGCTGCAGTGAAATCCAGTGTCTGGGTTTTCAGTTGCCTTGAGCTGTGGAGGTCAGCCAGGAAGAGAGTGTGGGCAGCATTGTCCACAGAGAGGTTTCTGAAGAGGGCATCCTCACACATGACCTTCAAACGCTCCAGGCCATACTTATCCGCAGCTGCCAGCACAGCAGCTGCCATGCTGTCCAAGTCTGGTGCTGTTCCTGTGTAAATGAAGTCCATCATTGCCTTGAAGACTTGTGGCTCCAGGTCAGGGATCTCAACGCGATTCTTTCTGCTCTCCTTCATGTCATGTTGAAACATGGCTCTGAAAACTGGAGAGCGAGCTGCTAAGATGGCCTTGTGAGCCCAGAATTCCTGGCCAGCTACCACTAGGCAGCAGTCTGTGAATTGGGAATTCTTCCACAGCTCTCCTAGCTCATCTGCCAATGTGCATCTGGGCACCAGGATTCCTGGCTTCTTGTTCTGGTCAGAGAGGCTCAAAGAGACCTGGGCCACGCTCACCTTGCAGACGAGGGTGAGCTGGTCATCTGGCACGATCCAAAATGCATGGGACAAGAGAAAATCTTGAAGAATAAACTTTTTGTAACCCCAGTCCTGGCCTGGAACGAACCTGCAGGCTCTTGGGCTCTTTGTGACTTTGATTTTCTCTCCTTCGGCACTTATGATCCAGAACTGGAACTTTGCCCAAACATGACTCTTTGGACAGCTGAGCAACACTAGGTAAACTGACAGATAATCTGCACTTTCTTCATCGACTCCATTCAGGTGTACTCTCAAACACCATTTGTCATTGGCTCCTATTGAGAAAGTTGGGCTTGTAATGCTTTGCAGCATTTCCTCAGCAATCAAAGGGAAGTTGCTGATGGTCCACTTGTAGGATAAATCCTGAACACTGATTTGTGTGTGGTCCCATCTCTGGGCTATCTCATCTCCTGCCATTTCTCCTTCAGGTCGTTTGAAGGTTCAACTGGATTGAAAATGAAGAACCAGCAAGTGTTTTCTCTTCACCCTGTGAGATGCAATAGCAGACAGGATTTTGATTTTTAGGTTTTTTTTTTCTCACCTGTTCCCTCTTCTACGAGGCTGAAAACTTGGGTCTCTGATATTTTCTATCCAGATTTCAATGCTAATTTCAGAGAACACAGTCTAGGCTACTTGATACACTTACATCTCCATTATTTTCTAGATTGAATCTTAGGTCAATAGGTAAGTAGATTTGACAAATATACACAGCTTTTGAATAGTTTTGATCATTCATTCTATTAATTCATATAAAAAATGTTGTACTAGGGTTCTCTAGAGGTAGAATATATGCAAGGAGTCTCTCTATATATGATGAAAGGGGGTTTATTAGAATCAATTTGGGCTGCAGTCCTGTAACTCCCACATTACCTATGAAGGGAAAGATCAAGATTCCAGTACTTACTCAGTGCAGGACTTTGGATGTGTCTACTGGTCTTCAGTATATGCTGGTGTTCCAAATATTCTCTATTGCCAAGGAAGGGATGGACTTGCTGCAAGGTGAGGGCAAGCAGGCAAATAACAAGCACTTCCTGATTCCTTGTCCTTTTATATGCTTCCAGGAGAGGGTGTGGCCAAATTTAGGGTGTGTCTTTCAGACTCAAGATCTGGATTAAAGGTGTGTGTCTTCAGGCCCTGAAATCCAGATTAGATGTTTGTTTCTTTTTGCTTCTAAAGTCTGTCCTTGAAATGGATCTACCCACATCAAATGAAGCAAAACACTTCACACTATTATGACCTCCATTTTAGGGTTTTAGTTAATTCCATGTCTGATTAAGTTGAGAACTAAGAACAACCATCACAAGTGTATTTTGCTTACTGTGGTTCATCTCCATAAAATAAGGTATGGTGTCCATTCCTAGACAGCTGTTATTGACTCTTCTAGGGATTTTGCACCAATTGTTCCCATAAACATGATCCAGGAAGGGGTGATTTCCTTATCTGTCAGGGGTCTCAGTGTTCACAAGATGGAGGGCAGGGTGGAAGTATTCATACATGATGTCCAGGAAGCAGAGCCAGGCAGGAACTTCTGAAAGTGACTGTCTTCTTCTGCTGTTTATTCCATCCAGACTCATAGTCCCCAGGATAGCTCCACCAACTTTCATTAGTCTTTCCCCTGCCCCTCAGATAATCCTCCTGGAAACACTCTTCTATATCCACTTAAGGGTGTGCTATGAGAAAATCTTTAGTGATTGTCAATTCCATCCTCCTGACTGCTAATGTTCAGTTTCTCAATACCTCATAATTTTTATTCTCCACTGGTGAGTTCTGTCCTCTTTAAACTTTGAACTTGCAAGCTTACACTGCTGGGCCTTAAAAGTGAAACTGTATTCTGGTTACCCAAGGTTGCAGAACACATCTGCCATATATCAAAGAAGAGGCTTAGGGATGTTTCCCCTTCTAAAAAGTGAGTGGTAAAATGCTTCCCACATCTCTGGTCTCTTTCTAGTTCTTCATGTTTTTGAGAGACTCACTATGCCTAAAAGGCACTGAAATATGTTCAATGATTCAATCAGCTCAGAAATTGCCAGCCTAGCCCTCCATAGTTCTGGCTCCAATGCTGCTCATTCCTCAATATTGTTCATGTATCAGTTGGTTTTCAATTATTCATTTTCGGTTTCTGTACCTAGACTACCCACAGGTGACTGAAAAGTGTCATCTGCTTGTCTTCACCCGTGGGTTAAGGTCATTGAAGTCAGGTCCCTACTCCCTCAAATCTGTCCTTTGAAAAGTCTGTATTTGATCACTTCTAGACTTCTCATTTGCTTGAAAGATTGTTAAATGGTAAGCCCAATGCTTACCATTTAACTCAGTGAGATGTGCTGTCTTCTTGGTGGTTCCAGGTTTCTATGGAAGGCCAATGAAGAAGGAAGAAAGAAAAGGAGAAAAAGATGGATGGATGACAATGTAGCTCGGGTATAGAGAAATAGCCTAATATGTGGGAGGCACTGATTTATGTCTCCAACAAGACTCACACGTGCTCACATGCAAGCACACACATATACATGCATCCATTCAAAGGAGAAGAGAAAGTAAAGCTTCCTTTCAACATGTGAAGGGTGACAGAGGCCCACTGAACCTTTTAATTGATTGCTATGCAGGTTATTACTACCTCTGAGACCATGCTCCCAGAATCCCTTACCAACAGATGTGTGTGCTGCACTGGATACAGATATCATATTTTATTTTCTTAATACAAAGGAGCAATTTTTATCCCACACAGAAATTGAGTAAAAAATATAGATAGTTCCACTCACAGAGTGTCTTCTCTTAGTAGCATCTTTATCAGTGTGTTCCAGTGTTATAAGTGATATTTCCATAGTGATGTATTAAACGAAGGGCATGCATTCCAGTTTCTTTCTTGAAAGATTCATTATGTTGCAGGTGTGCTAGTAAGAGTTTAGAAAACAATTCATGCTATGCATCTGTCGTTCTGTAAAGCACTTTCTCTAAGAAAGCCTAGTCCAGTCTCCATTAGAAAATAATAAGAAAAAAAATAGAAAAAGAAGATTGGTCTGTTGCATGTAGCTTGCCCTCATCTGTTTCTAAGACCGACATCTCAAGAAAAGGACTTGTTGAGCTCTTGGGGAGGGGATTCTAGGGAACACTAATGAAGCATCGGTGTGGTTTCACATGGTAATACCTTGTAACATCTCTTAAAATAGGCAGGTGACATCAAAGTTCAGTGAAATAAATTCAAGGGTAGTTGAGGACACACAGAGGGGCAACCAAATACCACAGGACAGATTTACAGCTGTCCAATTTGGTGAAGAATTCATTGTAACTAAAACACACTCCAGACAGCCCTGCCTGCCTTCACAGATACCAAGAACCAACATTAATGTCTTGTAAATCTGAGTGCTCCTTACATATCTGTCAATTACAAGCTTCCCATCTTTTGCCAAGGTGCATAAGAAACAACAGCAGATTTTTGCAGGTTGTTATTGCCCCTTTGTGTGTTTATGTAGAACTCTGTAATTTCAATTCTTAAAACTGGACCGTCTTATTCCTACCACCTGATTTCTTTTTAAAATGATGGTATCCCTTGCTTTGGAAATTCTATTAGAGCATCGCTCTCTAGACACAAAGCAAAAGGAACAGAACTTGCTGACAGCTTTCATGTTCTGACCAATGTGCAGTTTAGCACCAAACAGCCAGAATAATATGTAATAGTCTTCTAAATCTGCTGTAATGAGTGGGCAACAGTCTACAAGCACGGGAATTCATTAGTTTAGATAACTTAAGGTCATGGCTTCTAAAGGGCTCATGGAACCATCAGTAGTCTACTGGAGGCTGTCCCCTTTTGGCCTCTAGAGGGCACCAGTTCCCTTGCCTTGGGCTCATAGGCCACCACTGTGAAAGTATCTTAGCTGTTGATTCTTTTTCTGACTCTTGCTCCCACCCCCATCCCCAAGTCATTAGGACCCTTGTGATGCCATTATCCCACCCACAGAAAACACAAGATGATCTCTCTCAACACCTCAAAACTGTAGAAGCAAATAAGGGAAGACCAGGGCTTCAAGCTCAGCCTAGGCTTATAGTGAGTTTGAGGTCAGCCTGGCTTGCATGAGACCTGCCTACCAACAAACAAACAAACAAGCAGATAAACAAGTAAATAAATGAATAAAAATTAAATTAAAAATATATACAGGAAAGAACTATCATGAAAAATTGACATGAACAAAGTCAGCTTAGACATGTGCAGGCTCTTTGGGACATGGCCCTTCATATCACTAGTGTACTTAAAATAAATTATCTAATTTTTCACTTTTCCCCTAAACAGTAATCATTTATCATTTCAAAGGAAAAGTTAATACTGGGGCTGGAGAGATGGTTCTGTGGTTATGAGTATCTACTCTTCCAGAGGCCCTGAGTTCAATTCCCAGCAACCATATGGTAGCTCATAGCCATTTGTAAGTCTAGCTACAGAGAATCCCAGGCCATCTTTGTCCTACATGGGCTCCACACCTGCATGTCCAATTCATGTCCAGGCATTCAAAACACATACACATAAAAGAAAAGAAAATCATAAAAAGTTCAACTTAAGTGGAAAAATTACTATCCAGAACTTCTTTCCTGTGAAAAGAGAAGCTAATCAAGAGCAGCAACTCTAACTCCTGCTCAAAGGCAACATCAGATAGCAATGATAATAAAACTTGCTCTTCTTTTTGTTTTTGCTCTCACTGGTTTATTCATGTTAGTAAAATTGTTGTAAATAAACAAACAAAAATCTCAGTGTCTCCCCAAGTAATGTACAAGCAAAGCAGAAGTAATAGAAAAGTCTATTTCTTTTTAGAAATTGGATGTGACATGACGCAAACCCAGCTACCAAGTGCATACACACAGAGAGAGAGAGAGAGAGAGAGAGAGAGAGAGAGAGAGAGAGAGAGAGAGAGAGAGAGAGAGTCAGGTCTTTATCCCTAACCCAAAGGAGAGCTTAGCTGCTCCTTGTTGTCTGAGGTTCAACCTCAAACTCTAGCCTAGATGCTAGCTTGGAAACCTGGGGTGGAGAAAGGAGAGCAAAGGGATTGAGTGGGAAGAGGCACATGAGGAGAAGCAGATACTGGCCATTAACCTGTGTGCATGAAAGACTGAATTCTCCAAAGAGAGGGGAGGGAGGACAAACAAAGTCAAGATAATGCTGGAACCTTTCCCCCAGTATCTAAAACCAGACCCAGAGTTCTCATGAAGACAGTGCGAGTGCTGAGCTGAGATTTCCAGTGTTGAGCAACAAAAGAACCCAAGCAAAATCACTGAACTAGACCATTCTGTAGGTTTTAAAAACAAGTTTCTTGGGGGAACAAACTGCAGAGCTGTTTCTGTGGGAGAGGGGAATGGCAGCTTGCAAACCAAACAGATGGTGGTCAGTAGGATAGGGTCTTTGAGCTGACTCGGACTGTTGGGGTTAATCCGGAGCT